TGCAAACTAGTATTCTGCTATGTTTATTAAAGAACTGTATAAAAACAAGTAGGAGATTTAGTAGATAAATGTGTGTCATTCCTGGAAATTATTTAGGTATAATTACTTGCAGTACTGTAAATAATACAACTTGAAAAAGTCCATTCAGTTGTTTTACATGATAGCTTACGGCTATGCTAGTTAGCCCTGTTGCGGTTTTACCTGTGATACTATATGTCTACTTGTTGATACACTATTATGCAAAGTCATTCTTTTTGGTATTATAGACTGCCATCACGGGGATCATGCTAAAGTCAGTATGGTACGTTTTGCCAGATGTGAATATGGATTGTTGCAATGTGAAATTTCAGTATAGTTAATTATCAGCATTTTTTAGAGACAAACAGTGGAGACAAATATACTTTAAGAATGTTAAAAATGTCATGTCAGCTCAACAATGGCATATATTTCAATCAGTTATTTTCAAACTTAAATTCTGGATTTTGCATACAATGAGCATTGAACTTTTAAATCAGAAAGTTATAAGCTAATTAGAGTATGAGTTTTTGGTGTAGTTATTGCATGCCTTTTTATATATTAAAGTAGTGTAAACAAAACGCTAATAGAGTCAGAAGTAGGACCGAAGAAAATGTGTGATAAAGAGGTTAATACTTCTTTTCACTCAAATTGTACAGCAGTAAAAACATTTAGAAGGAGAAATAAGAAGACCGACATAGAGTCACTTTAATTCTTCAGAATAATGTCTCTGTCGCAAGTGGGGGTTTTTCATGTGGTGCATCTTTCCTTTGAATTCCAAGGTTACTAGCAAAAGGGTATGTTGTTTAAGCACACCTGTGGTGTTTCTCAAAAAGACTTGAAACTAAAAGGGGGAAGTCTGCATTTCTTTTCAGTCATTTTGAAAGTCTGTTTTTACTAAGGCTGATGGAAGAGATATATGAATTAGTATGCATCTAATTATTTATATTTGCATATACTATTGAGTACAAAAGTGTGTCCTGTTTTACACATCAGCCAAACATAGTAATCAATTTCTAATGGGAAACAATGGTATAAGAAAAAAATCTTTACTGTTCTAATATCCACTAAATTATTTTATTTTAGAAGTCTTATAAGGCGTAAAAAACACTGTTGCTGTGAAATTCTGAGGTGTATCAGAACCTATGCTAGAGAATATAATAATATTGGATTGTTATCTTTTTATATATTGGATTATTATTAATAAGTTAAAATTCTTGGTTTTGAAGGAAAATTATTAGCAGGATTTTTCTTTATCCATTTGTTTTTGTAAAGTGCTTATTTTTCTTACTCTAGCATAAGGCAACCTTTTCTGAGAGGGAGAAAAGCCTAAAATTAACTTCTGATATTTGTTTTTGTTATAAAAATGACTTTTTTCATTTTTAAGATTTCAAAAATAAATAAAACCATCTTGATTTGTTCTGATTCTGGACTGTGAGATAAATCATTGGTATCAGAGAGTTATTGACAGTGTAATGATATTAGAACAACATTGCTTTATACCTAAAAGAAAATTGTTTGTAAATTTTAAATAACTTGGTTTCTTGTTTTACTTTTCAGTCTTCAAAATGACATGGGGTAATACCTGGGATAGGAAAAAGAGATTGATTGATTGATTCTTCCAAGTTTATAAAAAGTGTTAAGCATGTAAGTCTTGACCCTGCATTGGGATGTGTTCACATAAACCATTATGCTTGGGTGGAGCCACCATGACCACACTGGGGCTCCTCCTGGAGTTTTCTGTGTGAGCAGATCATGTTTCAGGATTAAGGTCTGGTCTACTGAGTAGTTGCTACAAAGACCACCCAACAGATTCATCAGGTATTGTACCTCATGAACCAATGTGAATGTTCTTTTGTCTACTTATGTCTAAATGACTAAGTTTATTGTAATATATTCAATGTGCCAAAGATCGAATATTAAGTTACAGTTCATTTATTGTTAGGTTTTGAAGTTGAAAGAGATTTTAATGTATAAATTATATGTTTGTATGCCAATTATTCAGTATTCCCACAAAGATTTTCAAACACTTGAGACTACTTTAGCTAAAGTGAATGACTTTTATATATACTGGAGAAATATGTCATTGAATTTTAAGCTGAACTCCACATTAATTTAAAAAATCACTGGCACTATGTGATCCTTCGATCATTAGATTTCTTCTGTCATCACTGTTTTATATGTATCTTTAAGAGTTTCACAAACAAACTAGTAGTAAAATATTCCCCAGTGAGTTTTCACTTATGCAAGCCTATCTATGGTTATTAAAATGAAATATTACTATATTTAGGACCTCTGAAATTACTTCTATTAGAATGTTAATGTGGAATATCAAAATGCATAATTGACTAAAAGTAGATCATTTGACATATTTGCATAGCAGAAATGATAAGCAGATTAAAGGTAGCAAAAAGATCAATTTTAGTGCATTAGTGAAGAAGTTGAATGAAATTTTTAATGTCCAATCTAGTTCTTTATCTGATCTGTAAGTGAATAAAAGCACCTTTTGTTTATCATATTTTTGTCACAAAATGAGAAAAATACAAATGTAATGTAGAAAAAGGTACAGTTACTAAAATATACAGAATGAAACGTACAACTATAAAATATTTATATAGTGTTTTTAATTTAATGTACAAGTTATTTTTGGTTAAATTCTGGAAAGATATTAAATGCACATGCTTTTCTGTTTAAGTAGATTTTTAAACATGATTCACAATTTGGAGATTTTTACAGGTTACTTTTCAAGGACATCCTCACCGTAAAAGTATTTTATGGACAATGTAAATTTTTCAAATCAAAATACTTCATACAGAATATCCCATACATGTGTAAGGCACAAGGAAGTTTGTGTTGATTTTACTCTTAAGTATAACACTATAAAAGAATCTTCTCATAGTTTCTGAATCTGTAATACCTGACCACACACAATACTTCTTTCAATGCTATAAAATGTAAAGATGAAAATACTGGCAACCCACATATTTTTATCGATCTCTTCTCTAAAAAATTAACATGAAGCTTCATCAGTATATTTACTTTGAAATATTCCTTTGAAACAGTTCTGGTACTACAATGTATTTAACTACTTTATTGAATGAATACCAAGGCCATATTTTTGAGCTGTAAGTAACCAATGAACTTCTGGTCATTCAATAAGATTGATTAATAATTACTTTTTGCTGCTGTATTTTATGTAGAGCTTGGTTTTGCCACCTACTAGTGAGTGTAGCACTATCCATAGATTATATATGTATATATCTCCTTCTGTTGTTGTTGTCTTAAAACTAGTTGTAATTTTCCAACTGTGAAAATGATGCCATGTATTTAAATGGAATCTACAAATGTGGACCCAAATAGGGTTATAGCGTAGGCTTCTCAGGTAGTCAAGTCACTACTTGACTAGTCGCTTCCCATCCACCCCTGATAGAGGCAGCAAAGGGGTTAGGAGGAGCCGGTGCTCGGGGGAAGCTGGCTTCAAAGCCTGTTCCCTCCACCACCATCTCCACTGGGACTCATCTGTCCCGGCTGGTGCCTGGTCCCCCACTGCAGCTGTGCCTTCTAAATGTAGTAAGAGCTGGGCTGCTCTTAGCTACATTTAAAAGGCAGAGCCACAGTGAGGTTAGCTCCCAGGGCCTACAAATCAAGTAGTTAATGGAAATTCCATCAACTACTCAATTAACTGATTAAACTCAATTTAATATCCTTAGACCCAAACTGAACTCCGATTATTGGTGAGCAGCTTGCTTTTTTTCCTGTAAGGATGCCTTTTCTTTAAGTAGATCCATCTTAAAAGAAACAGAACTGCTGTCTTCATATTTTTACTGCTGTACTTGAGTGTTATTAATACTTATAGTTATCCTACACCAGGTTTTTAAACTAAACTCCTACTTTGTTGATGTTTGTGTATCCATAACTATGCTGGTTATGATGGAGGTGTCAGTTCTGTGTTTTAAAATGGTTAAAGTTAAAGCCTGTTAATTCACTTGCTCTCTTTTGAGGTAAATGGTGAAGGGCTATACCATTATTGTGTGGTTGATACTAGATTTAAAGGTTTGTCAGCATTTCCATTTTAAACACCTGTTTTCAGAGATTTATAACTTCTAAATTTAGACACTGTCACTGGGAGTTTTTAATATGCAATTAGTGGCACTTTAATCTGTTTATGAAGGTTTTGGAGATAGGCAGAGGTGCCATTTATTTTCTCTTTCATTATTTCTTAGTTTAAAAATCTGCTATATTTGCTGTTAAGTGTTTCCAATGATACATTCACTCTTCTTAGAAGCTTCCAGGTGGCTTGTATTACATTAGGTACAATAAAATGCTGAAGCTCCAAGTTATATAGAAGGCCTGTAAAAAACGAGAGCGTAACTTGAAACTAAAGGGTTGATGTGCAGTGAATGCTAGTTTGTATACATTTTTAAAGTTACAGGTTCACAACTACAGGCAGCTGTGACAACTGTAGACTTACGATATTGCATGAAACATTTTTGTTATATGCAATAGGTGTTGAACTCTTTTTAATTGATTAAAATATGTAATCTTAATATTTGAATTTCTTTTCATTAACTACTGCATGTGTAACACTAATAAAACACATTGCACTACTTCAAATGCCTTGCAGTTTAATATGTCTTAATATGTGTGCAAAACAGGCAAGATTTCCATGTAGTTTCAGGACATAATGGCTGTGCTTTTGAGAATTACAAGGACTTTATTTTCTCAAGAACTCATGTGAATAGGGTTGCCAGCCATCTAAACACACAAACCCAAACGTTCTTACCTGGCCCTCTGCCCTGCCCCTTGTCTGAGGCTCTGCCTACTCATTCCATCCCCCCTCCCTCCTTTGTTCACTCCCCCCACCCTCACTCATTTTCAATTGGCTGGAGCTGGAGGTTGGGATCTCAATGGGGTTGTGGGCTCTGGGGTGGGGGTATTGGAGGGAGCTCCAGGCTGAGCCTC